CCCAGGTGCTCCCAGCGCTCCCGGTGCCCCCGGTGCCCCCGGTGCTCCCGGTGCTCCCGCCCCTGTGGCCTCCAGCGTGATTGCCATTACCACCTGTGTGCCTACCGTCATCTACTCCACTGTGCCCGTTTCTGCTCCTACCCCCGTCGGTAACACCGTCCCCCACGGCCCCGCTGGTGGCGTCCCCCACGGCCCCGCCGGTGGTGTCCCCCACAGTCCCTCCAGCAGCAGTGTTCCCTCCGGCGTCGCCGCTGTTTCCCCCTCCGCCTCCATCCCTGCCTTCAACGCCGGTGCTACTCTCAGCGGCTCCCTCGGTTTCGCTGGTGCTGCCGCCGTTGCCGCCTTCTTCCTGTAAATGACTTCTTCGGGGTTTCCGATCCACTGATGCACCCAGTTGGATCCCCTGGGTCTAATACTGGCGTAGCTGCTGTGTCGAACTGGAGTGGTTGACGAGAGGTGACGTGAGACAAGGATTGTGTCATTTAGGGTTTCTGGTGATCTACTCTTAACAATTGTTGCTTTCTGACAGGATATGTCTATCCCTTTTTTTTGGCTTTTTTGATATACATTCTACTTTTTTATTTCCTCTCGGGCTCTCCTGGATAGCTTCGGAGTTGTGCGAAGCTTGCTTGGTGGCTTGAGCACGACCTTAATGTAAACCATGACAGCTCTTCACGTTCTCCCTCTCTCTCCGGCGTCTGTAGCCTGTTTGGAATATCCTGGCCATTGCACATTCGTAACTATGTAATTTACCTGCGGTCCCTCCAGGTTGAAAGCTCATAGAAAGGCCCATCTTGCTAGAACTGGTCGCCGGATACGAGTTTTATCATAGACTCGGTCGCCAACTCTGAGTATTGCCTCCCTTCCTATCCCTGACTCCCTGTGCCACCTCGAATCCTGTACTTCCTAGGGCTGAATGTGCCACGACTTCCAATTGAAAAGTCAACTGGGTGGCTGAATTCTAAAATTCAAATCCAACTGATTAATTTCGTCCCGCATTGTTGGTGCTGACTGTAATTCCCTGCTTGAACAGGAACTACTATGAGTGTTACCATCACAACCTCATCCATCTAAATCAGAATTTCGTGAAAATTAACATACACTGTTGTCTTAAGTGCACCCTAAGCTCAACACACTGGGCTCGAGTTAGCATCTAGTCCACACAAAATGTCGGTCAAGGTGATGTCTTACAAATGTTTCTCTTAATGGCGAGTGTTGTGTCTTAAAAACTGATGGCTCCTTCGATCTTACGGGACATTCTTCGTTGTTTGGTGTCTCCGGTGAGTCTGCCATCGTCTCTCCTTCTCAACCCCAACGAGCTCGGTGATTTCATGCCCAGAGCATGTAGTGAGAATGCGAAAATGCATAACCCCTTGTGTGGATACACTTGCACTCCAACTTGTGTTCCGAGCAACTGATAGTATGTGGGAATTATAGTGGGGTTCTCTTGATATCCTTTGTTTTATCCTTGTAGGACTCCGTGGCCATTGTCCTGAAAAGGAGTACTTCGGTATTCACATTTGGACAAGTGATGTTCAGTGATGACTTAGGGAGGACCGGTGGAAAAGAACAAGAAGATCATCAGTGCTTTTTTTCTTAGCTCTAAGAGCATCCTTCTCACTATCCGGCCTATGAATCTGTCATTGATTTACTCCTTTGTGTATGCCCTGCACAAAATGTGTTATTCTTCCCCTTCTCCGGGGAAGATTGAATGCCTTTTGGACCTATCCTCCCTCGGAAGAACATTTTCAATTCAAGTTCGGTGTTATTCTGACTTTGGATCCGGACCGTGACGGTCCATTATGGTACCCTCTCTAAGCGCACATAGCTCGTATTCAAAGACAGTACGGATGATGTCAATCCAAATGCTACATGGTGTGCCTGTCAAATTTTCTGTTCCACCGCACAGTGCTTTTCTATCCATTTCAACGGCGAGCTTCCGAACCTCCAAAGCAACCCTTGGACCTTGCTGGTCCTCTCATGGATCTCTCATCCCTCGAGGATTAATCTCAAATTCGTTGTTCTGCCAGATGCGGCCATTCCTAGTATTCATACACAGTCACATGTTTCAGTTCAATATCTACACTCAAAACACCTGCCACCGAGACCTACTTCATTGCACGCTATCTCGCCAACACAAGACAGTAACAGACTACCACCAAACCGCTCCACCATCAATGGCAATTTAAGCCGGGCGTCTACCCGTACACGTAGCCAGCAATCCGCCGGACGAATTTTCTCCCAACTGCGATCCACAATTTGAATATGAGGTGCTCCTATCTTTACAATACCTTTCATTTTCTTTACAACCACGGAATTGTGTGCCTCTCAGGTGGATCTAAGATGAAAAGAAATGGGGTGTTGGAGAGATGTACATACACCGCGCACATGACCATCGGCCTCAAGATGATACAGAATCCTCTCGATCAACAGTCTCACCAATTCCGCCTCTTTCACCAATTACACCAGGGGAGGACGCGTTTGCACGTCTTGATGAGCGCATCGACTACCAAAGTCACCTTGGTCGGGGAGAGTCTGTTGACCCTAGCCCCCGCCCTAGATTGGACACGGAATTAGCCGAACACATGACACCGTTGTAGGGGATAATCGGGGGTTTAATTGGGTTGCCATTGCTTGAAGAATGCATGTCGATCGGTGGACTTGGGTGTGATTGAGGTGAGCGTGGTATCGCTTTGCTTTATTCACGTTCTAACTTTTCTGACATGTCATGGGAATCTGTTGATTCGCGGCTGGCTCTCATCTTCATGAATCCAGATAGATATGTACTGATCGATGCAGTTGTGACATTCCTCTGACAAAGTTCGCCATCTGAGAACCCGAGCACCGCTTATAGACGAAAGGGTTCCAATATCCATCCGGTTTGATTTCAGACTATCTGACTCTTGGGTTGTCTCAATGACTCAGGGGGTATCACGATTTTAGATCAAAAGGCTACCTTCCACCTATTTAGCCTTACAAGTTTGCATTCCCATCTTTCGCCTTTTCCAGGAGGATCTCATCGACCCAAACGGAATCCCCAATCGTGCCCATCACGGCGATTTTTCGTTCCAGATGAAGGCGTCCAATTTACCTTGACTCGACCCCAGGTGCAATCCATTCATCTTCTGTCACACGATGACGAAAACAGAAGGCCGATCGCATGTCACCAGAGTCAGAGCTTCATCTCGATATCCTATACAATGATCGAGCGTTTCGTGACGGTCTGTCTTTTTGCCCACTGCTATCTCCCTGACGAGGGGCCTTTTTCCTTGAGGGTGACCCGTCAATGGAAAAGGTTGCCTGTTATTGGTTCCTCTCAATATTGGCATTGAGATGCGGAAATGCGCTACCGGTACCGGGAACGGAGCAGGGATTATGAATGGGCCCGTCTCCACTATCCATTTGAGCCATGTCAATTTCATTTCCGACCCAAGAGAGAGAGACTCGAGAGACTCTAGATTGCACTGCTGACTTGACGCGTCAACATGAACTATACTCTACAAGGTTACCAATCTGAACCCCCCTCCCCCCCACTCACCCCCCCAAAGAAATGACTAACCGCAGGAAACCCACGAGGAACTGGGAAGGAATGAGAACGACGTGGTAGCTCTCAGAGAATACACATGTCAAGACTTCGGTGAGCCACTTCTTTTTCCAGCTGTTATTATGGCTCTCCTCATTCGACGGGGCGGTTGGTGGTTTTTTTTTTTTCTTTTTTTTTCTTTTCACTTCCCTAGACTTGGTCCGAATCATTTTTCGACTTGGCTTTGCTGTATTCGGGATCTTTTGATAAATCAGACTTTTGTAATGACACCGTAAGACTGGTGTTTCACCTAGATTTCACCCACAAGAGACATTCGGACTAGGTACACTAGAGCCCTAATGCGGTCAAGACTTTTCCCTCAATTTGAGATGATACCCCCGCATGGAGAGTCGTAGCTGGATTGGTCCAGGCAATGTTAGTGTGAATAATCTCCAGGTGAAGAACCCGATGCAAGGGTTCCCCTCTCTGAGACGCCAGTCACGCCGTTACTGTATGCCTGTCACCCGTCAGCGTTGCAAACTGCATATTGGATCCACCGCTCCACCGCTCCACCGCGAGTTATTGACAGTCTCGCGGAACACCCCTGCAGATTCTGTTGAGGGGCCAATATGATTCAAGAAAAAGAAGAGGATAGAAGATTCTCGAATCACTTTGACTTGGTTTTTTTTTCCCCCTCTCGCGGCTGGGGATCAATCCCGGTCAAGGAATGAGTGTGACTCCGTTGCTCCAATTCTTTTTGTGCGCTAACACAGACCAGCAGCTCTCCAGCCTCTGGATTATTTGCCAGCCAGTAGCAAAGATGGGACATATGATAGAATATGAAAAAAAACTTATATAATATAAGAGGACACACCCGGATTTCTCGGTCTAGTTTTCATCCCGGCAAGCATCAAGGCTACCAAACCCAGTCACATCCTTTCTCATTATTATTGTCTGGGATTAATATGACCGGAATCAAAGAGTGAGACAAGGCATGGCTCAGACTTGAATCAAAAAAGATCTCAAGTCCTTGAAGTTGCAAAAGTTGCAAAAGTTGCAAAAGTCCAAATTTGATATTCTCAAGTCTCCCCTATCCGTGGTGCACACCTGGGAATCTCCCCGATTCTACCGCCTTCGATAAGAAAAAAAAAAAAAAAAGAACCCTCCCCACCCCAAATGGTCCAACTCGCCCACATCTTCAAAAAGGACAAGGAGAAGGAGAAGAACGAGAAGAACGAGAAGAACGAAAAGAACGAGAAGAGCGAGAAGAGTGAGAAGAACGAGAAAAACGAGAAGAACGAGAAGAACAAACCTGATCTACGTTCATCCAATTCCTTTTCCGCTTCGCGCCCATCCCCATCTCCGAACTCGCCCTCCAGATCCCCAACTAAGAAATCTTCCAAATCCTCCAAATCTTCCAAACCATCCTATTTTTCCCTCAGTCGGTCATTTTCCAATTCCGGAGCGACCGCAAATTTCAAGTTTGCCCGGTCTTCGCGTGACCAGGACATACACCCCCTCAATCTTCCACCCGACGAGCTACGCCGTCGATTGTCGGCCATGGCTGCATCCAAAGAAGAGCAGCGGAGCTCCATGGATGTCGATCCCCAGGAACCCCAGAATAATGGCGTGAATGGCACTGAGGAGCGGAGTCCGACCCCGCCACCGCACCAGCCAAATTCAGCTTCTGCCGACGAGGCCGACTCCTTCAAGCTGGCCGGAAACAAATTCTTCAAGGATGGCAACTATCGACGAGCTATCGAGGAATACAACAAGGGTATGCATTTTCTCATCTCACAGAGATGCCGCGTCTCCAAAATAAGCCTTGAATGAGCGGGGTCGCTGATGATATTTGTCTACTGCAGCCATCGAAATCAATCCCAACTCATCGGCCTATCTCTCTAACCGAGCGGCCGCCTACATGTCCGCCAAACAATTTTCGAATGCGCTTGAGGATGTCCAACGGTCCAACGAGCTCGATCCGAACAACCCAAAAATCATGCACCGGCGGGCTAAGATTCTGACGAGTTTGGGTCGACCTGCAGAGGCCCTGGGGGTGCTGTCACGCATCCAGCCACCAGTGACCGCCACTGATCGAGTAGTCGCAGAGAAGATGCTGCGCTTCGTCACGCAAGCCGAAGAGACAATAGCGCAAGGCCGTGGGCTGTCGATGGTGATCTATTGTCTAGACCAGGCACGGCAGGGACTCGGAAAAGGTGTCAGGGAGCCCCGCAGGTGGACACTTCTGGCCGCCGAGGCCCATCTGAAGTTGAACAACATGAATTCGCTAGGCAAGGCACAGGACATTGCGATCAGTCTGCTGCGCGAGAACAGCCAAGACCTGGATGCGATGATGATCCGAGCCCGCGCCTTCTATGCCCTCGGTGAGACCGAGCAGGCGCAGAAGCTTCTGAAGATGTGCCTCGGGCTGGACCCAGACATGAAGCAGGCCATCAAGTTGTTGCGCATTGTGCAGAAATTGGCTCGCACAAAGGAAGAAGGAAATACCGCTTTCAAGGCCAAGGACTATCGCCGTGCTATCGAGCTTTGGGCCCAGGCTCTCGAGGTGGACCCCTCCAACAAGGATATGAATGCCAAGCTCCTGGGTAACCGTGCTCAGGCTTATATCAACTTGAAAGAGTATGATTCTGCCATTCTGGACTGTACTGAAGCCCTCCGTCTCGACCCCGGGTATATAAAGGCTATGAAGTGCCGCGCCAAGGCCAACGGCAAGGCCGGCAACTGGGAGGAGGCTATTCGTGACTATAAGAGCGTTGCTGAGAACAACCCCAGCGAGAGTGGCATTGCGGAGGAGATCCGCGAAGCTGAATTTGAGCTGAAGAAATCTCAACGCAAAGACTACTATAAGATTTTAGGAGTCGACAAGGATGCCAGCGAACAGGAAATCAAGAAGGCCTACCGCAAGCTGGCTATTGTATACCACCCAGACAAGAATCGGGACGGTGCAGCCGGCGATGAGAAGTTCAAGGAAATTGGTGAGGCCTATGAGAATTTGATTGATCCTCAGTAAGTCCGCCACCTCTTTTCAACACCAATCGACACAAAGCTAACCTTGCCTTCAGGAAACGTGCCGCTTTTGATAACGGAGACGATCTGAGGTCTGAGATGTATGGCGCCGGCGGTTTCCCCGGTGGTGGTGCTTTTCACGGCGGCGGTGGCTTCCCCGGTGGTGGTGGCTTCCCCGGTGGTGGGTTCGGCGGTGGTATCGATGCCGAAATGCTTCGCAACATGATGAACGGCGGCGGCGGCGGCGGCGGCGACCCCTTCGGCCATGCTCATGGCAGCTTCCACTTCTAGATGAAGAAGCCATCTAACCCATTCTATTCACTCTATACCATGACCGATTCTTTCTTCTTTCGTCCCAAGACGACGAAACCCCCAAACAGGAATTCGCATGTCTTTCACCGGAGTTGGAGTTGCACCTCAATATCTCACACATTGATTATTTGTTGGATATTGGGGTCTCACTTTTTTGCCCACTGCCATGTCACGATTTTTTCACCATGTTTCTGCGAGACGCCATATGATTCCCGATACGATAGATTTGAAGTTTTTTTTTCTTCGGTCTAACCTTTTCTTTCTCACTTTTCTTTTTCGCCCTCGTGGCTTCTTTCGGAGGGTTTTATATGAGTACTGCGATCTGGAGTGAATTCTTAAGAACAGTGCCTCCATGGACGATGGTTTTGCAATCCATGTGTACAGAAGACCTACAAGCTCTACATCCGATCAACCATCTTCGGCGTTTTTCTATTCTCCTATTCTTCTCTTGAGTTTTGCTCTTGATTTTGAATTTTTCATTCAGAGAGATTTGCTTCACATGTTCTGGCTCCCGATGCACTTTGTGTGGTTGTCATTTTTGTTTCCACATAGTCAAGCAAAAGCACACATATCGTACACACTAGAATGACACCCATACAACCTTTTTTTTTCTTCTCTTCGATATGATATGATCATTCTCGTTTACTCCGTAGCAACCTTGAGAGTCAACCTCATGCCAAAGAGGGGATATGAAGGCTTGGGGGTTTACCATCTCACTCAGAATAGATGGCGCCGATATCCGAATGTTGGTCCATCCCCGTAAGCCAAAATGATGTGGCTTTCTCATTGCGCACCTGTCCTATGGAATGGATGGCCATGCTATGTATTTATAATTAACAACATAAGCAATCGTAATGTTCTGTAGTATGTACTTCTCCCTCAATATGCCGAACGACTATGCTAATAAATAAGAAACAGATAAATCAGGGGAATCTCAACAAAATGTAGGGTGAATAAGACAAGGATAGCGAATGAATATACCGGACAGAAGAGCGTAAGGCAACCTTCGCCGCTAATGAGTGATGATGTTCAAGTCATATCAAACACCAGAAAGGACATTTAGAGACAAATGGTGACGATATAGAAGATGCAAGAAAATAAACAAGAAACGCTGGCATTAAATGCCCTTCAATCAAGCATAACCGAGAGCAGTAAGCATAGTTTTGCATTCGGGGACCGGCAGAGCGCAGACACCTAGCGCTCGGACCAGAGCACCAGCCCGGAGCCGCTGGAGACCGATGGCGACCTTCCAGGCCTCACTATCCTGCAATACAAAGACATACTTCTTGCCTTCTTGGTCACGTACACTGGCGCGGAGAACGTGTAAACTATGGAACTCCCCCTGGGGCGGGTGAACAGGGCCACCGTCATGGCTGGCAGTAGCGCTGCGTGCGAACTGCGCACTGGGCGAAGCTAGGCGGCAAGTACTCTTGCATACTTTAAGCAAGTTGCCAAGAAAGGCCTCTGATTCTTCGTTGGTCGGAACATTGTTCCCACGACGGAAGGAGAAAGAGTTACTGGCCGCATTTTTGGCGGATGAAGAGGCGTTTACCTGTGGACACCACACCTCCACCAGCTTGAGGGTCCATGCCTTGACATCCCACTCACGTTGGCCAATACCGCGTAGATCATCATCGATGAAGAGGCCTTCGGTTGTGATGCGCAGCACCAGCCCATCGGTGATCATGCCTTGGCCTGAGACAAGTTGCGCCACTGGGGTCTTCATAGAGGCATTGTTGAAGGCGTATACACCTTGGATCACGATCTTATCTGGATCCTTGGTGGAATATGTTGTACTGCGATGTGAGGGGGGAGGTGTTGTGCGCGCGGTCGAGTGAGAAGGTGCATATGAAGACTCTGAGGATACCGATGTGCCAACCGCATATGGTCGTCGGGGTCGATCGTAGGGGCGATATGAATACGTATCGTCTTCATTGGCGGTCTTTGCGGTTGAGTAGGGTGCGGATTTCTTGGGAGAAGGGGTGCGAGGCATATTTCCCGTACTAGCTGGCTTCGGTGGCGGTGATTTGGCAGCGGCTTCTTTCATTGCGTCTTGCGCCTTTTTCTCGGCGTACTTCTTGCTTGCTGCTTCCTTAAGCGCCGCAAATCTGGCCATGGCTTCTTTTTGGGCCGCGGCCTTTGCGGCAGCTTCTTTCTCAGCTGCTTCTTTAGCAGCCCGCTCTTTGGCTTCTGCTTCCAACTTCTCGATCTTGGCCTTTGCTTCAGCTTCGGCCTTTGCCTGTCTCTCGCGAGCTTCCGCGGCTTCCTTCTCCAGTCGATCGCGCGCCTCCTTCTCTGCGGCGGCTCTTGCAATAGCCATCTCCTTTTCGAGCTGCTCGCGCCGTTCCTGTAATTCCTTCTCCATTGCTTCGCGCTCGCGTTTTCTCTCTTTTTCTTTGTTCTCTGCATCACGCTTGCGCTTGAACTCCTCCATCTTTCGGCGTAGCTCCTCTTTGCGTCTCGTTTCTTCTTTTATTCGCTCCCTTTCGGCTTCTTCCTTAGCCCGTTCCTTGGCTCGTTCTTCTTTGGCTCGTTCCTCCTTGGCTCGTTCTTCTTTGGCTCGTTCCTCCTTGGCTCGTTCTTCTTTGGCTCGTTCTTCTTTGGCTCGTTTCTCTTTGGCTCGTTTCTCTTTGGCTCGCTCCTCTTTGGCTCGCTCTTCGTTGGCGCGCTTTTCAGCCTCCTCCTTTTCACGTTCGTTATGATTATAATGTGGAGGAGGACCAGAGCCTTGTTGATTACCAGAATATTGGTTGCCGTATGGTTGTTCTTCTCCAAAGTTTCCTCCCTGTTGTCTTTGATGACCCTCCCCCTGGCTACTATATTTGGCACCCGAGGACCGTTGGCTGGTGTTTGGACCGGCGTTCCTAGAGCCACCTGGGCCCCCAGAACCACCACCAAAGCCACCAAATCCGAATCGCCCACCTCGAGCGCTGCTATTGCTTTTTCTGTATCCTAAGCTGGTGGACTGAATGTAGCCAAGAAGCCATCCAGCGACACCTACCCCGATCGCAAGTACCGCCATGCCCGTACTACTGTCGCTAGTGATCGTGACTAGATACCATGTCTTCAAAATCGGAGAGATGTACGACCACACGAAGCATGTGAGGAGTGTGCTTGCGACGCCCGCTAAGAAACTATTTCGGTTGCACTGCAGCGACGGAAGGTAGAGGAAGCCCGAGCCAGCGGAGTGAGGTGGGACGATAAAGATGTCGTAATTGCCATCTGGCAGGTCCGAGGATTTGCGATATTCGCCTTCAGTCGTATGAGGATTTTCGCCATGAGGTGGCGGCGGTGGTGGTTGACCGTCCATGTTGGAACAGCCTGAGCAACGACAGGATTGATGTATATATAAAGCGCAGCGTCGGTCGAACGACTAGCTACGACCTGGGTTGATCTGCCGAGTCGATCCTAGATGAGCAAGTTCTCGCGGTTGAGAGTCAACTGCCAGGTCATATTAGTCTGACAAGTGTTGCACTGAGGCCCTAGGCACTCAGCGCTGTGAAGAGTACTCAGATGCCAAATCTAAGGAATCTTGACAGGAGAAAGCAAAATCCAAACAAATTCCAACAAAATATTCAAATCGTAAAGCCAAAGAAAAAGGTCGAAAGCGCGGAAGAACGTGATTCTGACTTCGCGGGATTTGTTTAGAAGTGTGTGGGAGCTAAGGATCGGCGCCGACGCTTCCTGCACCACTCGACGTGGCCATCTTATCCAAAAACAAAATTTCGCAATCCGAATGAGCTACCAAATGGAATAGATGCCTATTAATTATAATGCGGCTCCCCATATTTTACCCGACAAATGTTGAATTCCTCGGAGGCCACGCGATTTTACGTAGGGCTATGTGACCGAGCTCAGAAACAGCCTCAAGGGATGAAATTACAACAATTACCACAAACGTTTTGCCTATGTTGAATGGCAATGGAATTGCTCAAAGCTATGACTACCCAGGCATTTGTTCTCAAATCTTTGTCTTTAAACTTGGCCTTTTAATCCGCAAAGGCCTCAACGCTCCTGTTCATCATGGCTCAAGTACTCCATACGGCTGTTTTGTTTTGATTTTACTCTTTTGGGAAAGGACTTGGTTACATCAGCTGGGAATATTGCCCAGGGTGTTCTTCCAAGATCCTGACCGCCTTGCTCTCCGCTTTCTTGGCTTGTACCGTTGAAAGATGTAGTAGGAAGGGTAGAAAGGATAATGCGGTGGGCTTTAGAAGCGAAAAAAAAAACCAATTCGAGGTCTAATATTTAGGTTCCATGATATCCGGTATCTCCTTGACTGCTATGTCAACGATATTCTTCGTCAATTTTGCGGCTATTTCCTTACTCTGTGACTAAGAGGGGTTCGTTTTCGCATTCGGACCACTTGAGCCTCTTACCACGGGGTGCTTCAGATGTTCACAATGTTTTGTCTGAAGTCAACCCATGCGAGCTTCATTAGTTTTGACAAGCGATTGCCGTTGATGCGTGGTTTTATAGTTTTATACCCCTATGGACCTCGAGTCGTCGGCCAGCGCAAAGAACCTTCGTTCCTAGCATGTCCCTCAGGTGTTTGGTCCCAAGCATATAGCGCTAGGGGCAGCACACCTGAAAACCCTTGTTAATCTTGCGGTCAAGCGGTTAGGGGCAAAATAGTTTGAACGTAGTGGGTCCAAGATATTCGAGCTGGAGGATGTAGCCACCGAGGCCTGTTCACAGGACAGCGTGGAGTGTATGGTAAAATTCGAGTCCGAGGTTCGGTCAAGGGCTCATGACCCAGAAAAAATAGAAAACAAAGATTAAAAGCAGCTGTATCTCATGATCACCACCCACAAAGATCTCGCAAGAGCGCCGTAAAATATACGGAGTAGATGTCCCATGATCAGGGAGAAGAGGACATAGGGCCTCATGAGAGGCACTTGTAGTCATCCTGGCCCACTTAGGCCATGCTGGACACTGGTTATTACTCTGGTAGTGGGACACCGCAGCAAAAGTAGTTTAGGAGAACTGAGTGTGAAAGGCAACCCTGATGGTGAGGAACAATGACTCGGCAGAACGTGATCCGCAGCCGATGATTGGGTGGCTTTCCACTTGAGATTCTAATACCCTCTTTCTATCCATCGGAGTGTTGATCGTTTTCTTTCTATCTCACCTCAGCTTCGAATCTTCTTGCGTGCCCCCTGTAATATTCTGGTAGTCAGGTACTACCCCGTGTATACGCCTCCCCGCCAACCTGTCCTTTCAGTCCCGCTCCCAGGCACCCATCTCCGCCAACCTTGAACCTCCCCAATCTTCGTCTCACCCTCTATGCCGCGTCGCTAGCCACCGAGAACCGATTCACGACCTGCCCTTGAAGGGCAACCCGGCACCATGTCCTCACAACCCCACCACGGTAATTCCGCGACATCACGTCAATTCCCCGCCTATAATCCAGTCGCCCCAGTGACAGCACCCGCGGGGACCTTGCTTCCGGGCACCAAGATTCAAGTCGGTAGCCATCGCGTGGTAGTTGAGAGGTACCTCTCTGAAGGTGGTTTTGCTCATGTCTATGTGGTGCGATTGCCTCAGCCAGTTAATGGGTCCGAAACCGCAGTGCTGAAGCGGGTGGCCGTGCCTGACAAGGCGGCCCTTGCCAACATGCGCACTGAGGTGGAAACCATGAAGAAGCTCAAAGGTCACCGGCATATTGTGAAGTACATTGATTCGCATGCCTCGCAGCTGCGTGGAGGTGGATATGAGGTGTTCCTTGTCATGGAGTTCTGCGCGGGAGGTGGTCTTATCGACTTCATGAACACCCGGCTTCAACACCGCTTGACAGAGCCGGAGATCATCAAGATCTTCTCCGATGTTGCCGAAGGTGTTGCGTGCATGCATTATCTCAAACCGCCCCTCCTCCATCGTGACCTGAAAGTCGAGAACGTTTTGATCTCGGGTAAGGGGAATTCCGCCACCTACAAACTGTGTGATTTTGGATCATCGGCACCTCCTCGTCCTGCCGCTACTTCTGCCGCCGAGGGCCGCTTGATTGAAGACGATGTGCAGCGGCATACAACGCTGCAGTACCGAAGCCCAGAGATGATCGATGTCTATCGGAAGCAACCGATTGACGAAAAGAGTGATATCTGGGCACTTGGTGTGTTTTTGTACAAGCTATGCTACTATACAACTCCCTTCGAAGAGGTTGGTCATATGGCTATCCTCAACGCGACCTTCAAATACCCTTCCTACCCTTCATTCTCGAGTCGGCTAAAGCTGTTCATTGGTAAGTTTGGAACACCTCTTTGGCCTAAAATTGATCACCCATGGCTGACAACTTCGCATAGGCTCAATGCTGAAGGAAGATCCCCGCAATCGTCCCAATATTTACGAGGTCGTGCGAGAGGTGTGCAACATGCAAGGAAAGGAAGTTCCTATCAAAGACGTATGTCGCCTCCCGTCTCTTTTAGTGACCTGGCACTAATTGTCGCTTAGATATATTCAAAACGCTCTGTTTCGGAAGTGCGCAAGTATCAAGAGCTACCGCCCACACCTACGGAAGCTCCTGCAGTGGGCGCAATATTTTCGCCTCCAATGCAGGAGACCGAAATAATCCCAGAGATTGCGCCTATGCGTCGTGGTCGACCTGGGAAATCCCCGTCGTCCCAACCTAGCTCCGAGAGACCGAATGCTTCGCCATATCGAGCCACTGCTGAAGGTTCGTCAAATGATCCGTTTGCAGCCCTGGATGGGAGCGCAGCCCGAACGAAGACAGCAGAGGAAATGTCGAAACGATTCCCCTCCCTGGACCAGTTTGACATTTTGCATGAAAAGGGCGACAAGTTTGAATTTGAGCCAACAGTTGAATCTAAGCCTGAGGACGAGGATCTATCTCGAAGACTCACCAACGCCCTAGCCGATGATGCTTTTGCCCGACGTGTTTCGCCTGAACGTGTGCCGAAACCGGTATATAAGCACCCATCCCAGACTTCCCCTGTCCTAGCACCCAATTTGCGTGAAATCCCCGCGCCGCAGGCTGTTCCCTTGTACCAGCCAACTCCTCAACGGCCCGCAATGGTGTCGACGGGTACAATGACTTCACCCATCCAAACACCCCGTTTGCCAGAGCTGATCAGTCGCCCAATCTATCGGTTCCCTTCTTCTGACAACGAACACCGATCTTCCAGCGAGCCATTTACAATCGACGAGGAACAAAGAATGACACGGCCGCACCAAGTGCCATCCCCTCAGATGTCAAGTTTGAATGTAGAAGGAAGCTCGCGGCTGCCCTCTGACCGTATATCCAGCCAGTCTAACTCTGCGCATCCCTCGATGGAAACCCTGAGACTGCCCCCGGCATTAGAGATAACTGATCCCGTGGGACGTTCTAAATCCGCTACTGGAAAGGCTCGCCCAATGTCTGTCCAGTCGGGAGTGAGATATGACTTGCCTCGTGACTCTGAGAGCCCGCGGTCTTCGCTCGATATGCCCCGCCTACAGTACGAGGGCGGCGCGCCACTACGCTCAGTGCGCACCGACATGGATCGCGAGTCTGATCGGACCATTTCCTCTGACATCGATTACCTACGCGCGATGGAGGAAGAAGAGAGCAACCGCAAGCGCGAGAAGCGTTCCAGTGGTAGCTACAAATACAATAAGCGCGCTAGTCTGTCTACTTTGTCGCTTTCGGGAGGAAAGAACCTATTTTCTAGTCGATTCGGCGACGCATTCCGCCGATTTGAGGCGGGCAACCAAGAAAAATCCGCGTCGCCATCGGCGGAAGATGCACCCCAGCAGGGTCTGGCCGAGGTGTCAGACTCGTCTGAGGATAGTCTTTCATCAAATGACGAGATCGCCTTGGAAGACGTGAACCGGGACGACATATCACCGGAGATGCGTCGGGAGCTAGAACGCCGCCGACTCTCCCAAGAGGAGAAACGAGTTGCCAATGCCGCAGCTGAGTACCGGCGCCGAGTAGCCGAAGGTGATGGGGGTGGAAGAGCGATAGGCGATGGCACACGCTCCCTCACGATTTTGAACAAGGTACAATCGTTGCTTGGAGAGTCTGAGAAGCCGACCATTCCCAAGACTGCTACAGGGTATGGACGGTTCACGGAGACTTCCTCTTCTTTGCAGGCAAAGCAGAGTGAGACCAGAACCACCGCCTCCGCCTCCAGCCAGCTGCACGCTTCTCACACATCCGGCCCGACCTACACTCGTGACGGTTCAAGGACACTCCCAGATCGTCCAGACGGCCCCAATGTCTCTGCATGTCTCCCGCAATCTGTCGCCCCTACCAGTTATCCATTAACACAACGTCCCACAGCTCGACCAACTGCACCACCAAAGCCCAAGAGTTTGCGCACTGGGTCAGCCACCTCGCGACCAGGTTCTGGCCACGGTTCCTCCGAAGAGACTGGGGAGGACTGGGAGGCCAAATTCAGTCAGCGTTTCCCAAGTTTGTCTGGACTTGAAATGGAGACAGAGATCACGATCCCGAAAATCTCCAGCTTGAGGACACGGGAAGTGTAGAGTATAGGATACAAGTCTTGTTGGTTTCACACCATGCGGTTTCAGCGTGTGTTCGTATGCCGCGCGTACGCAACTCGGGGAATGACATTGGTTCACACGAGCTATGCATATATAGACAGTGACATATTGAATACATAAATTCACTTTGAAAATACGACTCAAACCCCACCTAACTTCGTTTATTCATAATCGTAGCTGGCAGTGCACTCGATCTCAACCACCAAGGTTGTACATATTCTGTCCTCACACCGCCTTTGTTTCTCCCCACTGGAGCAAGAGAAACCTCACTTTCAGCCCGGCATCTCTTTTCAATCTATTGGATCATGGCACCAGTGACTTTGAAAACGGTCGATGGTGAGTTACAAGCTGCGGGTGGCTTTGAAAGTTATCATGCTAATTTCTCACGCAGACGACCTCAAAGATGTGATCCAGCACCTCTTCGAGATACAATCTGCCGTCCACGGCTATCTAGGCCCAGAAACACAGCAGGAGCTTGTACGAAAGATGTATGTCAGCCACAATGGCATCCCATGATCCCTCCATTCCTCCATTCCTCCATTCCTCCATGCCCATGAGGGTGCCCCGTTCGAGCAAACACTCCCCGACAAGCAATACAACTAAACCCCAACCCTACACACCACCTCAAACTAATTTCTTACAGCAAAAACCTAACTATCGCCCTCTCAACTTTGTCAACACATACTCAACTCCCACCAACACAAGAAAACCAGCCAGACACAAGTACCGACCCCTCCAATCCCTCTCTCGCCAGCATCCAGCTCCCACCAGAGATAATTGACTACGTCGACTCGGCGCGCAACCCGGATATTTACACGCGAGAGTTCGTTGAGCTTGTGCAGCGTGGGAATCAGGACCTGCGCGGGAAGCGTGAGGCATTTGCGAGCTTCCGCGACGTACTGGCCCGCGAGATACGCAGCGCTATGCCCGAGTGTCGCGGCGAGGTTGATCGCGTGGTTGCTGCGACGGGTGGGGCGGTGAATGGACCTGACGGTGTTACTGGTGATGCGAGTACTTCTCGGCGTGCATTTTGAATGACCTTGATGAGGTTATGAGGTGCAAGTCCGATATTTCTGATTGGCAGAGTTGCCTTTCGTTGGCGGGGTGTTCGACGTCGTGGCCTGGGGTCTAGGCCGGTCTTGGTATGCGGCCCTTGCCTTTGGCCGTTTGTTTGAATCTCAGGGAGCTGGTGCATTCGTCGGAGTTTTTATGGTTTGCATTGAGTGCGGCGTTTGCAAAAGGGTTACTTTTCTTTCAATGGTAGCTAAGAAAAGCTCTCACTAGCGGCCCTTTGATTGCTAATAATTTAAGAGCTAAGCTCAGAAGCGTTACTTGGATGTGCCAAGTCTTATAGTCTTTGCATGTGTTCAATAGCTAATATCCCCGATTGACTGAACTAGGGCACAACATGTTTGGTGCTACGATTGACGTCATCGAAAAGGCATCCCAAAGATGAGACATGAGTTTCCAGACTTCCTGAAGCACAATGCCAACTCTAAGGAGACTCTAAGGAGCCATTCGGCAGCGTGTGTGCGTCATCGCCAGAAAAATGTGCTTATTTCACGCCTCGATACGGGGTTTGAGCTCTTTTTTGGATTAAACAAGTATATGAAGTGTGATGCCCAGAGGCCCCAATGTGGGGGTTGTCTAGCCAAGAGTATCGAGTGTCACCCAGGCGTGGCTCAGAATAAGTCAAGTTCAAATGAGAAACCTGAAATCAAATTTCAAGTTGCTCGTGATTTGCTTTTGGGTCTACTAACCACCGCATTACGGAATTAGAGCAAGAAAATGAAAGCCTTCGACAGAAATATGCCCAGCTTCGAGGAAGCAACAACACTTCTACCAGAAGGGTTCAATCGGAGCCGGAGCATTCTGTTACATCGAAAAATCCTCCACGTCCTCCGTAGTATTTCTCGAGAATAGTAGGCATTGGTCTTTCGCGTAATGACTCGCCCTCTACTTCAACAAGAGATACATCACCCTCAGAAGTACCGGAGAACGACCGCAGAAACACATCCATTGTATCACGGCCCAACGAGTACAGTGTATGATGATACGAGTCCGAAACACAGTGAGCAGAATAGACCAGGTCAATGGAACGAAGAGGGAACACGGCATTTTCTCTTTTCCCAGACAGCGAGACAGAGCAAGTCGGATCTCAGACAACACCAAAGATGGTTATAGCGCTAATTCTGAAATCAAGGACAGCTAGAGCCACTTAATCTTGCCGCCGGAAAACTCGACATTGATGGCATCGATCCTGACATTGGCATACATCTACTCTCCATACATTGGAGCCGTAAGCTTTACACGTCCCAGAATATTTACCGGCCGGCTTCTTTTGCGAGATATGAACTGCAAGGGACCATGATTTTCCAAACTGCTTTTGAACGCGATATTTCCGTAGCACCAGAGCACTGCGACTGGCCGAAGCTTCGGTCCGGTTCAAATGACATTTCGACTGCAGAATGGAGGTTCCGGCAACGTTTCACGCAGCTTTTACGAGACTGCTTCGATAAGAGCGAGATTACTACTCTCCAGACATTGCGGATTACATCCAATGCGCTGTTTTCCCCAGATGTGATGAACGGAGTCTGTCGTGGCTATACACTGGAAATGCATTGAATATGTTCATTGATCTTGGTCTGCATGTGCTTTCTGCTGTGGATACTATCCCTGCCGAGGAGCTCGAAATTCGAACGCGAGTTCTCTGGGGAGCATACTGTGAGCTATCATTTCCCTGTACTAAGTATTGTCCTAAGAATCACCCCAAATTTCTCAGGTCGTAATTGATAAGATCCAGTGTCGTTTCCTAAGAAGACCTCCGCTTCTCAACCGTGCCAACTTGAGAGCTTGACTAGACTTCCTGGACGACTATGACGAGCTTGAACCTTTTCAGGATATCACATACGTGGCTATCAACCCTCGAGGAGTGGTTCCATCACTGAATGTTTCTTTGCTCACCAATTTATGCGATTTGACAACAATTGTGGAACGTGTTCTTTGTGAGATTTATTCGGAACCTCGAGAGTCAAATCTTCTTATCTCTCGGAGGAAAGAAAGTCACAGCTGAGAACCTGGCGCCACAGTTTGTCACTTCAGCTTGACTATCTGTCATTCCTAGACCAGGCGGTTCCCCTGCCTCAGTCCGCCTGTCTTGTGTATGTTCCCTGCATCAATTAAGAGTAATCGATGGCTGCTAACCACACTGAAAAGAGCTCTATTCGATGTGTTCATCATATTGGTCCACTGACCTCTAAAAATTGGCCATGACGCGGCCATAAATTCAACAACTGCACATGAGTCAGTGAACGTATGTACAGCAGCTGCGAATCAGATTGTTCAGATCCTCCATGACTACTCGCAGCACCTCTTTCTGAGCAATGCACCGTTTATGCTCTCTTACGCCACAGATATCATTGCAACAATCCACGCATGGATCACGCATGGATTGTTGCACAGAAAGGGAGCAACTCAACTGTGTTCCAATGACTGGCCCTTTGCCAAAGGATTCTTGTGGAACACAGATGCCTCGATTCCACAGCAGAAAAGGCCAGGGATAATTTGGACAAGTAGATTTTTCACTTAGGGATCAGTGTTGCAGATGATAACCCACGCACTGAAAGCCCAGGGGTCTCTGGGAAGGTTATTCCCAGTGAGCACATGCTCATAGATGCGTCTATAAACGTTGCCAGAGAATCTGGCGTCGCAGATTGTGCAGTTGAATTTGGACCCTCGCTGATGAGTTTAGAGCTGTCTGACCTGGACCTTGAGGCAATCGCTCAAGGTTATCAGGCTGATATAGAGTCGCCCTTTTTCTGGAATTCTTTGGTATGAATGATCATGCGCTCACGATATTCATCCATGGGCCCTTGTGATTTACGCGATCAACAATAGCGAGACCAAAGAAGAAACCAAAAAAGGTTCGGTGGCATATGTGATGCACTAGCTACCGTAAGACCCAGAGGCAAGTCCTACCTGTTTTTTTTTAGCAATCCCCATCTCACTTGTGAGCGAGCTAAGTCAGAGTATTAACGTCCGTCACAACGTTGACCATGTCAACCCCCAAGTCGACATATTTCTTCACCTGCTTTCCATCTCCACAGTAGATCCCAGCCTTCTGCCCTGACTTGTGCGCCTGCATTTAGGGCACCTATGTAAAAAAAAAAAACTTTTCTCTAGTGGGTTAACCATATCAAAACAAATCTGTTCGATATACGTTTGATCAATCCAAGATTGGGAAATCTGGAACACGAACAATCGGGCTCACTCCATGTGACGTTATGATGAGGCCCTTGTCGAGCACTGTATTTCCGCAGTTTTAATCCTTGCAGTGTTCATGAGTTTGTGGTGAGTTGGAAATGAAAGCAGTAGAGAAGTTAATCACAACGATCAACGTCCGGATCATTACATCCCGGCAGAATTCTCGGCTTATCTCCGTGATCACGCGGGGCATCGAATTGTAAGTGCATCTCCATGGGCCTGCAAGGTATCTTCCGACAGCACTCCGCTTTTTTTAAACGCACAACTGGGAAGCTCTTTATATATAATCCATTATCCTTAAATCCGTGGGTGGATTGTTTATCCCGCACTTCCCCAATTTATAGTGCCTCTCATTATGACGTGTTCTGATAAGAAGTCCTGCGAGGGCTGTTGCAGCAATGACGCACCCCAATCACTAAACATCGAGGACTGCCTAAGTGAGCTGCAGGCCCTGCGACGACGCAATAAGGAGCTGGAGACTCGTATCAAAGTCACAAGCGGGGCAGACAATGCCCAAGTCACCGTCAAACAACCGGGACGAACACTTCGTTCGTCCGCATGGTTCGATTGCCGCAGCAACCCCGGTATGACAGCGATCTACATGGAGCGGTATTTCAATTTCGGTATCACCAAAGAAGAGCTAATGTCCGGTAAGCCGATGATTGGGATTGCTCAGACGGGTTCGGATATTGCACCTTGCAATCGCCATCATATAGAGCTCTCCAAGCGTGTTCGTGAGGGTATTAGAACTGCTGGAGGGATTCCATTTGAGTTCCCCACACATCCTATCCAGGAGACATCGAGGCGGCCCACTGCAACCCTTGATCGCAATCTGGCTTATCTTGGCTTGGTGGAGATCTTAACGGGGTATTTCCTTGATGGTGTTGTGCTACTTACCGGGTGTGATAAGACAACTCCGGCCTGTTTGATGGCTGCGGCTACGGTGGTCGGTATCAGACCCGAGAGATTCCTAAATCCATGCTGATGTTCTCAGAATATCCCGGCTATCTGCATGAACGTGGGACCTATGCTCAACGGCTACTCCAAGGGAGCTTTGACCGGAGCAGGCACTGTACTGTGGCACGGGCGAGAGCTGTTCGCCACGGGTGACATCGACGAACATGAGTTTATGGATTACATCGCCCGAGGGTAGGCAATGTCTAATTTGGTTGATGACCGCAGTATCTGACACAAACTCTAGAACTCCATCAGTCGGTCATTGCAATACAATGGGAACTGCCTCAACCATGAATGCCCTCGCGGAGTCCTTAGGAATGGCACTCCCCGGCTCAGCCGCCATCCCCGCTGCCTATCGTCACAGAGCTCAATGTGCCTACGAAACAGGCAAACGGATTGTGGAGATGGTAGAGGCCGACCGAAAGCCGTGTGATCTCATGACACGTGAGGCTTTTGAGAATGCTATCGTAGCGAACGCCGCAATCGGCGGTAGCACGAATGCTCCTATCCACATCAACGCTATCGCGCAGCATGCAGGCATAGAGGTATCCATGGATGATTGGGATACTCTTGGATCTACCATCCCGCTGCTGTTGAATATGCAGCCTTCAGGGGAGTATCTCGGCGAAGAATATTATCGCGCTGGAGGATTGCCGGCTATTATGGCTGAGCTACTAGACCAGGGCAAGCTGAACGGCGATGTGCTCACTTGCAATGGCAAAACTCTCGCTGAGAATGTCCGTGGGAAGCATTCATGGGATCGGCGTGTCATTAAACCATACGATGATCCTTTGATGAAAGATGCTGGATTTGTTCATTTGAAGGGTAATCTCTTCGACTCTGCAATCATGAAGACCTGTGTCATTTCACCTGCATTCCGGAAGCGATACCTCTCCAACCCCGATGACCCCGAGGCATTTGAAGGATCTGTTGTGGTGTTTGATGGACCCGAAGACTACGAAGATCGCCTGGAAAATACACCACATATTGATGAGAAAACTATTCTGGTAATGCGCGGTGTTGGTCCTATCGGGTATCCTGGAGCAGCGGAGGTCGTCAATATGCATCCACCAGGCCGACTCTTGAAAGAGGGTATTGATGGACTTTTCTGCATCGGGGATGGTAGACAATCGGGAACATCTGGATCACCTTCCATTTTGAATGCTAGCCCCGAGGCCGCGGCTGGAGGCAATCTTGCTATTTTGAAAGATGGTGATAGACTTCGCATTGACTTGCGCAAAAGGCGGGTTGATATGCTCATTACCGACGATGAGATTGAACAAAGAAGGAAGGCATTGGGCGCCAAAGGATATCCCACTGCTCCGGCTAATACTCCGTGGCAGGAGATCTTCCGTCAGGAAACTGATCAGCTGAGCAATGGTATGGTGCTACGAAAGGCAGTCAAATATCAGCGGCTAGCTCAAGAAGGCCAGCCACTGCGCCATAATCATTGATACGCGGCAGTTCGGACAACATTGTTGAGTGGTCGCCTAGGTTATGTTTTCACCTGTTTGAAATTCTATGCGCACAACAGCATCTAAAGCTATGCATATATCTATTTATCTATCTATTTAACAATCCAAATATCCCATCTCACCTGTTGGAAAACCCTCTTATAGGAAGTATCCTTTTCACCACTGCTCTATAGTTTACTGCTACACATTCTTTTTTTTTTTTCCAAATTAACAACCGTGAGAGAAAACAAAGAAAGAAGACTTCTAAAAAACTCCTTGGTCCAACTTTTTTTTTAAATTACTGGAACACGAAGGAAGTCTATGAGCACACAAGTATGCTTGACCAATAGATCTTCGTTGTCCAAACTGTCACTATAAAAACGCCGCACACGACAGCATGGCGCTCTTATCTTAGGTGCACACCATGCACTTGCTGCTTGATTTTTTTCACCTTGAGATCTTGCCAGAAAAAGTACGAAATCCAAGTTATCAGATAAAGCCAAGTGCTGACGATGAGTATGGGTCAAATGAGTCTGGGCAACAAGTTTTCTAATCTTTTTCCGAACATCACAGTGGAGAGATGTCAGGATAAGAAACGCAACATACCGAAGCCAGTGGAGTACAACAGCTCAGAGACGAAGGCAGCACGTCATTTCAATAAAAATATGAAGGCTCAAGGGGGTGATCCCGGTGAAGCGAGACAAGTTATCGACTCATAAAAAACTTCATTGCCAAGTTTCTAGCCCGCTTAAACATTCCCTTCGCTTCGTCCAGTTTGCCCTGGTCGAAATTGCCAGAAAGAGCTATGGCTCCTGCAATGATTAGGCATACCAAAGAAAAATAGCATCAAGAGACAAAGATGTGGGGGAAACACCAATTTGAATTTGTGGCCAACAACAGAAGTGTATCACTAGAGTCCGAATGGATAAGTTTCGCCCTTTCCAAGCGGCGTGTCGGGCTGGATGACCTCCAAAGGTTGAACAGCCTGGGTCTTATCAAACCAAACATAACCATCAAACTGTTTATGAAGGAAGGCTTGCGAATAGTGCGAGGCACGCTCTGTATCAGGGCGGTAGATGACACCAATGAAACGTTGCAGGCGTTGCTCAGCAGCGATAGCTGAGCGCAGAGTGGGATCTATGCGATCCTGACGCAGGTCGAGCACGAAGCGTGGTACCCCAGTATCATGGGCCACAATCTCCCAACTGTCGTCCCGCGAGGGACGGACGGACATGACCTCCATATCATCATCCCATTCATGGGCGGCTGCGACAGTGCCAGTGTGAGTTCCGCATCCAAGAATGGTCACGTTCTCGCGTCCCAGTCGCTCACGACATAGTTGCCCGATGTTGAGCTCCTTACGACGAAAGCCCATGCTTGTATAACGCGCATCCCCAACGTGGGAATTGTGTGCCCAAACAATGGCTTTCTCTCCTTCATTGTGCTTTAAAAGGCGTTCCAAGGTTTCAAACATATGCATATCGCGCAGGTTCCAGGAACTTGCTGAGCTGTAGTACATTGCTTTGTAGTACTTCTCCGCGTCACGAACCAGGTGGGCATTCTGTTCGCCGCTGTGGTATTCATCACCATCCCGCGAGCCCATGTATTCCAGCCGTCGCGCCAAAAGGTCTCCAAGCATCTTCATCACTGGGCCTTCACAGTCTTCCATACCTCGAAGGGATGCTAGACCATATGAAGTGGGATCGTCGACCCAAGGCTCTAGACAACCATACCGCTGGCGTGCTTGCTTGCTTGCCTGTGGGTCTACCCGGTCCAAATAGTCGATCACAGCACCGATGGAGGCACCCATGCTGTACAGGTCCAGCCCGTAGAACCCGGCTCTTTGCTCGGGTGGGAGGCCCTTGTTTCGATCGCGCATCCATTCAACTAGCTGTTGCATCTCTGAGTTCCTCCACATCCAGGTGGGAAATCGTTTGAATGGTTCATACCCTTTCGCACTGCCTCCAATTTGCGCCTTTGGGCCTGGACGCAAGCGCACATATCGGTCAATGGCCTCTGCATCTGGCCAGTCAGCCTCGACCGCGACCATGGTATAGCCGTGTCGTTCAATGAGTCGCTTAGTGATCTCTGCGCGTGCAGAATAGAACTCAGATGTTCCATGACTGCCATCGCCTAGAAGAATCACTTGGTTGCCCGCGAAGGTATCAAAGTGTGAGGCGAAGCTCTTGTCCTCGATTGCAGGCAGGGGTTGCACTGCTGAGTTGAAAAGCTCCTGTAGTTGAGACATCTTTTTAGTAGTTCGGAATATAGACGCCAGGCGCATGGATGGTCAAGCCGTGTTTGGGATATCTTCACGCAGAACATCTCACACAGATGAACATGTCGAGTCCTGGAACGCCAGAGATTAGCCACGGCATTTCTATTCTTCTTTCATCAATACAGCATATACTCATTGTTTCGGGGGACTTTTCCCAGCGAATTGTTCACATCTCGGCAGCTAAACGGTCACCATGACTTCATCGAAGGCAAACCACAATGCTTCGATTCCGACGACAGTAGAATAAATGACACTTGAGAAGGAAAATCTATAACGTATGCAGTGGTCCAGGTTGCGATTATCCAAACAGGACACTAGACCAGCAATCATCTACCCCGGCAACTACACACATGCCCGTCCTGATCTGAAGGGTTATACCTCGAGAATGGCTCTCCCAATCAGCAGTCCGTCACCGCGCCTAGATCGGTTTGGACAAGCTATGGAATCTCTTTATGGGAGATTTAGCAGCATTGAAGACCCAAAGACCTGGACTCCACCACCGAAATCAGGCGGTCATCGGGGGCGATACCTATGGACAGACGCCTTTGGTGTTGTTAACTTTCTCACAATGCACAACGAGTATAAGCGAACCGGCAATGACACCATTGGCGACGACCGTTATCTAATGCTAGCTGCTCGTCTGATTGAGACTGTCCATGACGTTCTAGGTAGGAATCGGGACGGCCGCTCAAGACTGCCGGGAGCAACAGACGCGAACCCGCTGAGCGGTGGATTGAGGATCGGCAAGACAGATGCTCGCGGTCCAGATGGTGATGGGCAGTACCATCATTATCTAACGGTTTGGATGTTCGCGTTAAACCGGATGGCCAAAGCCTCGGGAGATTTGAGGTACAACAGGCAAGCTATAGAGCTGGCAAAAGCGATACACCCAAAGTTCTTTGTTGATCGCGCGGCAGCTCGACCGAGAATGATATGGAAAATGAACATGGATCTGACAGAGCCTATGGTCAAGTCAGAGGGTAATCTTGATCCGATTGACGGCTTTGTTGTGTTTCGACTCCTACAAGACACAGCCATGGAAGCAGGCGACGGTGCATTCTTGGCCGAGGAGATAGATGACTACAGACGCACGATGGAGCGAAAAGGAGAGCACTTTGTTTCAAGTGATCCCCTGGATCTGGGCATGACTTTATGGACGGCACATTGGTTTTCCGGACGAGAGCGCTGGGCTGCTGACCTGGCGGGGAAATGTTTCGAGCAAATATGTTAGTCGCCCTTGTATCAATGCCCGGGAAGCAACATAGGGCAGGGAAGCAACAAGCTGACTGAGGATGATGTCAGACAATCTGTTCGAGATCAATCAATATCTGGAGCGCAATATCCGATTTCGATTGGCCTTTCGCGAATTTGGAACCTGCATGGGCATTCAATGCCAGTCAGAGGTGAACGCGGAAAAAGAACGCACAGTTGATTTGAAATGCTACTCTGATGCCATCATTGCCGCTTGGGATCCATACATGCAATTATCCATATCCGATGATCTGACACCAGAGGACTTGAGGCCTATCACGCGGGTGATGTATGCGTCGGCGTTGATGCCAGGAGGTAAGTCAAACGAGACCCTATAATGAGTTCGGTATTTTGACATGTCAATTCCAGCATTTCAAGCTGGATTCCTGGGACAGGAACCAACACCAACATCCTAGCAGTGAACAAAATCATACGTGATCTCAAGGTAGAGATTAAAAGGTTTCTTTTTGGTACGAGCATTTTCTTGGAATGGATAGATACACCTGTTCTACAACGACAATGGAGTCGGACAAGCAGTCCTTGGAGTTGATCAGGGCCCGAAGGTCCGAGAAAGAATGGAAAGAAGAGAAATAGAAAATGTCTGCCAGAGAGTCTTCACAAGTACGTTTCTACTAAAAGTTAGGACACGCTTCTCAGTGTTAAAGCCAGAATGACTAGAAAACAGAGTAGACATTCCGGACTTTCCACTCTACAAAGTAACTTATCTACGAATAGGTCCGAGAGGAGAATGCTTCATGACAGCCAAAGCATGAAAACGTACAGACAACTTTTCCATGTATGACCTCGGGGTTGAACGTCTGGATGAAGACGACTTGAGCATCTCTTCATGCCGAAGAACATTGCAATCTATTATTAACACTCGGCATATTCACAGCTGCTGAGAAAGCAGATCTCGCAGACAAAACAGAGCTCTATACTCCCGGCAGTCCAACCACGTCCCTTAATGGTGCTACCCGTCGTGGAAGAATATAGATGGCATACACAGCACTCAAAGCAATGGATAGACCAGACCACTGGAGGAGACGTTAGCCAAGAGGAACATTTGATAATGGTAGGGTTTTGCCCAAAAATGCACTTGCCTTTTCTAACCAGGTGTGAAACCAAATCGAGGTCATGAACAGCATCCACCAATCCAGGCCAACAACACCCCAAACAAAGCGGAGTGACCACGTCCTTGCGAACCCGCCAGCCTCAGTTGAATCAATGACCGAAGTGCTATCAGCATCGCTTGCCTTGCGCTCACGTCCCGCATCCCCAGTGGAACCAGAATGTGATAAACATGCGGGTGCGGGTGCGCTAGCCCCGACAGCCTCAAATACGAGAAGTCCTGTGGCTAGGACCAGCATCAACACATGTCCACTGATATCATGTCCACCCCTCCATGCACCACCGGCATTTTTGCACGTCGCCGCTGTGAAAAGCGTTTCTAGGCCGGTTGGGCTACTCTGCC